AACATATACACAGAGCCAAATTCTTCTCTCTCTTAGCTCTGGAAAAGACAAGAGGTGAAAAGTGCAAGGGGCTTGGTTCAAACTTTGGCTTTTCTTCTTTTGAGGACCCACAAGGGGGTATGTCTCTCTGGGCCCACTACTAGGAATGGGCACATTTTTGTCTTACCTTACTGACATCATCTTGTGTGTTTGATTGTGTTTCTCCCTTTACACAGGTTACTAGGAATCTTAAAACTTTCTGCCCACTTATAAGCAAAATTAATAAAATCTTATGAACCTGACTGCTGACTTCATCTTTTCTCTCACTCTTTCCCAACTCATACCTTCCCTGAAAAAGAAAAATCTTGTTTTAGCAAATGCCTATGAGCATTTCAAATCCACTAGGGAGGGATGAAATATAAATAAATAAGTATCCCTAGGAAATAAGAACAACAATAGCGGCTAACATGAATATTATAATAGTGTTAATCATGTCCGGGTCCTGTTCCAAATTCTCTCCCTGGGAGAGAAAATTAGATAGAAGGGCATATGTAAAGTGCCTCGTATATCATAAGGACCCAAGAATGCCTTCCTCCCCATACAACTGAAGAAAAATAAAGTAGCACTAATAAAACCCAAACAAACATCTTTCAGCTTCTATATCCAGTTTAATGGTTGACAGGAAGAGTCTAAAAGTTAAAACACGGGACTGAAGAATTAGAGACCAAACAAGAAAGAAGTAGACCGGTTGCTTATGAAAGTGGAGGAAGGGAAGAAGTGAGTAAAAAAAGGAAAATCCAACTAGTGCAGACACTGTCTCTTTGACCCGACTGCATAAAGATCATCAGCGACTCTAGAAAGCGAAGAACGTCCCACCGAGGCTGGGGCAAGATCAAAGTGACAGGTCCAGGAAGCCACGGGCCCACCACCTGGTCCTTTGGACCCGACAGCACTCGGTGCACTCCTCTGCTGTGCACTCCTCTGCTGTGTACTCACGCCTCACACGGTTCAGGCTGCCGTGCCACACTCTGGACTTCCCTGAGTGACAAAGGGGGAAGACTGCAAGGATGAAACCAGCCTGCTGGGAACCTTCTGACCAGAAATGCCAGACTGTGCTTCTCCCTCTGCCCCACCCACATACTAACAAACCGCAGGGAACAAAGTCTGAGGCTCGCTGCTCTCACCTCCGGCAGCCCAGGAAGGCGAGCGAAGGCACTCACGTCTGGCAGGATGGGGGCGGGGGGTGGGGGGGGTGGCCTGAGTCACCTCTGGCTCTTCCTCTCGCCACTCTGCGTGGACAGCAGCGCGTGGCTCCTCTGGCCAGCCCTGGGGAACCGCCGAGGGCCCTGTGCTTTGGCTCGTGACAGACAGATCTCTGTCCCAAATCTCTGGCTCAGTGCTCACGGCTGTGCACAAGGCGCACTCTGCTGTGACAGGCAGCGAGGCCAGGGGCCCGAGCCACAGCCACGCGGTCACAGCAGCGCTCTGTGGGCAGCTGGGGCGGGGCAGTGGGGGAGGGGAGGACAGGCCTCCTCACTCGGCCACACCATTCCAACCTCAGCCCCACCCCACATGGCCCAGACTCAGTGGGACAGGGCAGGCAGCGGCCTCGGAGAACAGCCTGCGGACCTGAACAACAGGAAGTTTTCTAGCAACAGCACGTGACACGGTGTCCTCGTAAGGCTTCGCATAACCCGAACACCAAAGGCCTAGACGCTGGCACTTCTGACTTAGTCCAATGACTCCACAGAATTCTGGATTCTTCCAGAGAAAAGCAGAAGGCACTATTAGGGGTTGGTATTATTATGCACCTACGGCATACACCTTCCATCAGAGGGCACTGCCATGTTTTAAACCCTTTTCAGCTAGTGACAACTTGCCCAAGTTTCAAAGGGCAGGAGACCACTCTTTGGTTCCACAGGTAAACAAGTTTTAAAGTAGATACTGTGCCTATCTCTGTTGTCCCAGTACTGAAAAAAACGTGCTCCTGGTGTGCAGTCGGTGCCAATAAATGCTTCCGACAAAACAGCCCGGAGAATCCAACCGCGGTCTGAATACAAGTATAGCGAGCGCTTTGCTAACTCGCATCACCGCCAAGGACTCCTTTCCCATGTTAAGTACGTTACCAAATTATATATGTAAAAGCAAATTTTCCTCCTTCACCCAAGAGATTAAAAAGCTTCTATAATTAAGGATGATTTTTTAAATTGCAGGCAGTGTAGCAAAATGAATAGTAACACAGATTTGAAACACTCTAAATAGTTATTACCAAATCAATTTCAAAGCATTTCAATTTAGTAGCAAGCAGGGCAAGACAGGTGGCAACAAAGCAGTATTAGCATAAAATCAAAAGGACAGGAGTTACAACAAGTTAAAAAGGAAAATAAAGTACAATTAATTCCTCTTTGTGTGCCTCTCTCTGCATCTGATCACCTCCCTTGGGACACAAAGTCCAGGAAATAAAAGGGCTAAAGCTACCTCTAGAATCACTTTCATTTTACAAGCCTAGGAAGGCAGAGAAGAGAGATGCAGGAAGATAGAAGCCAGCCCATGGGTAACTTTTCTTCATGTCCTAAGCAGCTGGGCAGAAGAACAAATATTATCAAACTCCAGCAAGGATGCTAATCAAGTGTCCGGTATTTCACTGCAAGCCACTTTTGTAGGAGCAATATTCCTGTGAAGGTAATTCCCCTGCCTAAATATATACCAACACAGCCAAAAATAAAACAAATAAATTAATTAATTAAAAAAAAATGTATACCTGCCTCCCAGCTTCAAAGTGAGCAGGGGGAGAGCAAATGTAAGCTCCCTCCCCCCCCCCCCCCCCCCCCAGAGAAAGGGGAAAGGCAGCAGGAAAAGCCTGAGTTCTTGCTTTACCCTCTTAAAATTCTGAGCACTTAATCATCCTGAAAGCTACCTGGCCTGGTGGAATGCGGGTGGCTCAGGTGTGGGGCAGCAAGGCAGGTGGAGACACACCTGATCTGCTGAGAAGACACACCCAGTGCAGGAGATGGTGGGGTGAGAGGTGAGATGTGGCTGTCCTCCACTCAGAACTCCCTCCCCTCCCTTCATGGGGCTGTCCTAACACCAACTTTCAGAAGGAAACCCATCCAACACGCTATGAAAGCCACTGGGAGATTATAAATGTCAGCAGGTACAAGCAGGTGGCAGAGAAAGGAAATGGAAGGCAGGACTGACTTTCAATGGCCTCTCTCTCTGCCAGAATTTTTTAAATTGCTACCTGGAAATCCTTCTCCTGGGCACCTCTATCATTAATGGATAGGAAGGATTTATTATTGTTTTAAATCTTGATAGGAAAGCTGAGTTTTGTTTCTCCTCATCCAACATCCATCCTCTTTCTCCCTAAATAAATAGCCCATTTCTCTGAAATAAGTACACACACACATAAAATACTGAACATGATATGGACATAAACAAAAACTAAACAGTATCTTTAAATCAAGAAGTGCTTTAAAGCCCGCTGTTCTCAGTGATGTTTTCTTTTTTTTAATCAGACTGGTTTTCACACAGATTCCAATGAATACACATATAGGCATACTATGTTTTATTGCACTTCACAGAAATTGGGTTTTTTTCAAATTGAAGGTTTGTGGCAACTCGGCATTGAACAAGTCTAAGGGCGCCATTTTTCCAACAGCATTTGCTCACTTCATGTCTATGTGTCACATTTTGGTCATTCTCGAAATATTTCAAATCCTCTACCAACAAAAAGATTACAACTCGCTGAAGGCACCGATGATGGTCAGCATTTTTTAGCAATAAAGTATTTTTTAATTAAGGTAAGTACACTGCTTTTTTCTTTAGACATAATGCTGTTGCACACTTAACAGACTACAGTACAACTTTTATACACATTAAAAAACAAAAAAATTTGTGTGACTCGCTTTACTGCGATATTTGCTCTGTTATGGTGGTCTGAAATCAAGCTTGCAGGTCTGCCCTACTTAATTTTTTTCTAAGCTGGGATTAATAGTCTACAATTTCCATTTGTAACAATTGGAAGCAAGTTATATTCAAGGGAGTGTCACTAAGAAAAAATGTTCTTTCCACCATGGAGGAAATCCCTTTAAATGCTACTTCTTTATAAAGTCTTCCTTTTCAAAGCAAATAATTAAAAAGCTGCTTCATGGTGACTGAGTACAGCTGCTGTCACATTTAGAAGGTTTTCACATTGCAGCTTTGAAAATCAGACACTAACTTCTAGGTAATGCCAATGATTTTATTATGTAAAGAGTAAGGAATTTTACTTTAAAAAAAAAAAAAAAAGGGCTTCCCGGGTGGCGCAGTGGTTGAGAGTCCGCCTGCCGATGCAGGGGACACGGGTTCGTGCCCCGGTCCGGGAAGATCCCACATGCCGTGGAGCAGCTGGGCCCGTGAGCCATGGCTGCTGAGCCTGCGCGTCGGAGCCTGTGCTCCGCAACGGGAGAGGCCACAACAATGAGAGGCTCACGTACCGCAAAAAAAAAAAAATTATGTTGGAAGAACTTGGAGCTCCTGAAATAGGATGCAGCGGGACTCCCCTCTGCATTACACCGTGAACATGGGGCAGGGGGTGGAGAGGGGCCCTGCTAGGCCTTGGCCTCCACAGAGAGGGACTGGAAGGGGCCCAAATAAATTCCTCTCAAGGTCATTAGCCTGCCCTTTCTCCTACTAAGCAATTCCAAAAGGAAATTCTCTTCACCTGCAAATGAATCAAAACCAGTAGAAACAGAACCCAGGCAGGGCACCCTGTGGCAGCCTGAGAAGGCTGTCTGGGCACGTGGGAACACAAACGTCCCTTCACGGCATCTGTTGGGCAAAAATATTTAGACTGAATAGAATCATCATGAAGGAAGTCACCTTGAATAGTAAGGGGGAGGCCCAGGAATTTTTAAGGATGGGTTAGCATTGTTAGGAATTTCCCCTAAATAAACTGTGCTAATACTGTACGTGGAGCTCTGGTCTGAGCCCTGGATGGGAGCCTACAGCTTCCCCAAAGCTTGCTATGTCACGGCAGCTGTGTGCTCTTTACGTCAGCCCACCCCCAAACCTCTGCCACTCCAACCTGAGCTCCATGGGTTGATAAATCTCAAACAACTTCAAATGGAAAATTAAATGGAAAGCCTCTTCCTCCCTTCTCCAGGCCCTGTGTAATCCGGAACATGAATCTTAACCAGCCTGTTTTACAAGCAGCTGCAGGGCCTCCCAAAGCAGGAAGCCAAGATATCTTGCCTTCATCGGTGCCCAATGGGATCACTGTGTTCTTGAATATTTTACTCTGTGGAACAGTTAAGATGCCCAAAGGCTACACCTTATAAAAACAGACATGTTTGTCACTGCCCACCCCCCAGCAATCACAGAACCACAACTGAGTCACAGATCCCTGCTCCTTGAAGAGGCAACGGAACCTGCGTACCCTGTACTGAATTCAGGAGGAAGCTCGTCCCTCCTCTGGCCCTGCCACGCCCACCTCTTCACAGAGAGCTGTGGGTAAGTCTGCCTGGAGAGGAAATGCTTGTTTTTCCTTCTCCTCCCTACCACACCTCCAATGTGTCCCTTGGCAACAGGTTCTAATTCTGCAGGTCACTGAAGGAGAGAGAACAGAGAAACACTGTCACCAGCACAGGGTTTCCCTCTCGGCCACCTATGGTCCTCGCTCCCTGCAGGAGATCAGGTGACCGGGCACGAAGCACAGTCGCATGAAGCAGGGGGTCTTTGCTGAAAGAGGGACTCAGGAACCTCTTCCCGGTTCCTCCCACTTTCATCTCAATCGTTGCCATTCTTCCTGTTCAGCCGAGTTAAGGGAACATGTTGACTGAGTCAAGGAAGGAAGGACAGCCTCAATGACATGAAATGGGTCATTTAACTTTAACGACAAGACACAACTTAAAATACAGATGACATGAAAAGACTGGACAATGCCAACTTGGAATGGGAACCCCACATAGCTTCCTTAGAAACCAACTAAACCACTGCCTCCTGCAATGCAACTTGGTAAGTAGCCACAATTCTCTTTCCTTAATTTCTCATGCCCAACACCATGCTAGGAGCCCAGCAGATAGCCAGAATAAGATAAATGAGACCCCCTAACTATGTGGAGACAAAAGTAAATAACAAAACAAAAATAAGTAAACCGAGGGGCTTCCCTGGTGGCGGAATGGTTGAGAATCTGCCTGTCAATGCAGGGGACACGGGTTCGCGCCCTGGTCTGGGAAGATCCCACATGGCGCAAAGCAACTAGGCCCGTGAGCCACAACTGCTGAGCCTGCGCGTCTGGAGCCTGTGCTCCGCAACAAGAGAGGCCGCGACAGTGAGAGGCCCGCACACCGCGATGAAGAGTGGCCCCCACTAGCTGAAACTAGAGAAAGCCCTCGCACAGAAACGAAGACCCAACACAGCCAAAAATAAAATAAAATAAACGAAAAAAAAAATTAAAAAGAAAAAAATAAGCAAATTGAAAATATTGAGATGCTACGGAGAGCGTGTAATAGGGGGACTCACTGGTCTGGGCTCAGCAGGGACTGTATTAAATCAAGTACTAATTAAGAGCCTCAATACTCCTGCAGTTCAGTCGTTCATTGACAATGCAGAAGACCAACCAGCACCTTTTCTTTTCCCTCTTTAGAACACCTTTAACATAGCAGCAATCTCTCAATGAGAGAAAGAGACAGAGTGAGAATGAATGAATGAATGAATGAGGGTAGTCTTCTGTCACTGAAAAGGTTTCTGTCAAAACAAGAAATTGGCTTGGCCATAATCAGAGGCATGAGACGTCAAGGCCAGAACACAGAATAAGAAGTAAAAGGCTGTCAAAAAAAAAAAAAAGTCTGTAGCGCTAGCCAATTTCTTGAAGGAAGACAAACTCTGAGGAGGAGAGGACATTGCAGAAGGCTAAGAATGCTGTAAAGAAAGTCATCTGGAACAGCTAAAGCCACCACAGCTCAAAGTCCGTGCACCGCAACAAAAAGTAGCCCCGGCTTTTACGACAGCGCAAGTCCGCGCGCAGCAACGGAGGCCCCAAGCAGCCAAAAATAAATAAATAAATAAATTGTAAAAAAAAAAAAAAAAAAAAAGAAAGTCATCTGGCTATCACAGAATTAATACCAGAGATCCTTCGGGGGTGGGCAGCTCAGAGAGACGGGGCATGAAAACAGAGGTAACACTGGGAAAAATTTGTTAGACAAAACAGCAGGTGGGGAAGCAGAGTGAGATGAGAAAGGGGAATTAGCAGAATAAGCTCACTGGAAGGGCTTGAAGCTGAGTGAGAAGAATTCAAACCTGCTACAAAAACCACAACCCACCATTCACATGAAATGTCCAGAATGAGCTAGCCGGTCTGTAGAGACAGAAAGTCGATTGCCAGTTGAGTAGGGCTGGGTATGCGGGGAAACGAGGTGTGACTTCTAAGGGTACAGGGTTTCTTTCCGAAGTGGTAAAAATATTCTGAAATCAGATTGCAGTGATGGTTGCACAGTACTGAATAAACACAGTCCACTCAATGGTTTAAATGGGTGAATATTATGGTATGCAAATTATATCTCAATGAGACAATTCAAACAAAAAGGAAACAAAAACCCATAGAAGATTCCGATCCAAGTGAAAACTGAGGGAAGAGACTGCCTTCCTCGTGCTGACCGGCCCCTCACAGAGCCCACTACCCAGGCCTAGGCATCTCACAGATCTTCTGGGGCAATCGCCAAAATAAAACTGGATGAATCTGCAGAGCTGGGTTTTTCAAATTACACTTGAAAGAAATTGCAGGCGACTGGAGAAAACAAAGCTCAAATGTCACTGCATTTGGTTCCATACCTAAAACATAAAATATCCCTCAAAGATATGTGCATCACTTGGGCAACAGGGAGGGGCTGAGCTGTGCAGGAGAGCACTGGTGTCAGACAGCAGCATGGCCTCAGCACACAAGAGACCTGAACAGCTCCCCCGAAAGACACCAGGCTGCAGACTGGGACACACAGGCGCCCAGGCCCTCCTGCAGAAATGCGAACGCACTCTGTCTGGGATGGTATGTAAAAACAAGGGCTCTTAAATTCCCTGGTTGATGCTATTGTGAACGTGGGACTAGAAACTACTGACCTAATCAGAAGCCTTACTTTTGATTTCCTTTGAGAAGGAAAGAAGTGTGCAAAGAATTCAATGAAATGTTGCTCAAGTCACCTAGTCAAGCAGCCTAAGGGTCAGGACTACACTCTGTCTCCAGACTCACAGCTCAGCACAAGCACACCTACTTTGTGGGTATGGGCATGGGTGTGTGTGGGCAGTTAGGTTTCCTTAGAAACTCCTGGCCTCCGAACAGTGGTCAGATGCCGTTATAAGAAACTAAAGAACAAACACCCAGAAATACGTGGGAGATCAGTGACCTTGAGACTGAGCTGGGAAGACTTCTCAATATGCAGGGATTTCCTTGCCCTACGGTGTGTCCTATCCAGACCCGATCCCCATCAAGTAGAATTGCTCAGTGAGGAGGGAAGGTTTTTGTAACTTCACAGGCCAGACCTGATGTGGAAAATTTTTTACCAAATGAGCCCAGGGTTATAAAAGTAAACACCAAGGAACGTAAAAGCCAATGCTTCATCCTCTCAGCTGTCCATGGAGCCGGTGCTATCTGCAAAGGACAGGGCAGGCCCGACCTTCAGAAACCGCGCATGCTAAAACCCTCTTAAGACGTGCCTGGTGAACGCTCTGGCTGAAACGCACGGAGCCAGCACATGACCGAGGAGTGAGCTTCTTACCTATGATTCCACTGTCCTTGCTTTCCAGGGTGGAACTAGGGCTGCTAATGGTCTCACAGGGACTTTTGTTGGCTGCCGTCTTGCTGACACAGCTATTCAAGGTTGAGCAGGGGCTATCGGTGCTAGGAGACGCGGTACTGCTTGTAAGTGTGGAGCAAGGACTGATGCCTTGGCTCAGAGCTGTGCACTGTAAGATGAAAGGAAGGAGGAGTTAGCGCAGCTACACATCCCTTTGTTTTTGATGCTGAAACAATGAAACTACAAACCGGAAAATGGAATACAGTTTTGTTTTGTTCTTCAAATCTAGGGATCTTAATATATACGGTCTTCCAACATTTAAAAGAGAAATCTCCTAGTTCCGTTCCCCCGACTTTGCCATCTTCTTTTTTCTTAAAAGGGCAGTCTTGGAAATAATTTAGTGGGAATGTGCATTTAGTAGAGCAGAAATAGCAAACAGGCAGACTTCCTTTCATTTAACGTCTGCAGAAGACAAATGGGTTCTTTGACCTCTGTGCGTTAAATCTGGGAATTCTGTTTTTGTAATGTTTCACAAGCACTGCAACCTGGTTCAATTCCTTAAGATTTATGGGCTCTGCGATCAGGGGAAGGAGACGGGTGGCCACTGCGATCTTAATCGATGCATGACACCCTCCCTGAGACCCTCGCAGGGGGCAGAGGCTCCGGCCCCTCGTTGCTATTCAGACGTACACTTCTCATCTCAGATGTGGCAGGCTGCTGTTCCCTAGGAAGGGGAGTGCTCCTCCGTAGATGGACCATTTGATCTCATTTTACTTTGTCTCTATATATAATCTCCTATAAATCTTTTCCTCACCCCACTGACCCTCCAAAATTTCAACGGATAAAAATGCACAGGAAAGCGTATACCAAAGCAGCCAGATGAGAAGAACGGTGCCATAAAGATAAAAGTAGTGTCGTTACTAAGGAATTCTCTCAGCCGCTTTAATTCACTCCGCTACTCTTCTCCGGGTGCTGATCAGGTTAATGTGGACATTTTCGTAAATTCTACACCCTTCTGCTTCTCCTCACCGCCCCAACCTCAACTACAAAGATTCACAAACACACTGTTGAAATGCATTTCAACACGCAGCAGCCCAGACTCATTTGGCCCGAACAATGACCTCCCCACTCAGGGAGGGGGGAAGACGGTCATGCCTTCATTCATCCCCTGAGCAAGTATGACATGCAGTGTCCTCCTCGGGCATTACCATGGTTTCGTTTTTTTCTTCAATGGTGATGTGTGTGGAGCTTGGAATCCCTTCTCCCAGTAAAAATCCCAGCCTTGTCAACAGTTCTTGAGCTGCTGGCGAACAGCTCGGTTCGTTATCGGCCTTTGCTTCTGGAAGAAAGAAAGAAAACAATGAAAGACACCCCTCTCTGGAATTTCAGTATCGCATCTGGAGGAGTTGGCATTACAGCTGCCTGTCTGGTGCTTCTGCGTATTTTTATAAAACGCACAAAGTTTGACAATGCTGCCTGTCCGCCAGCAATACATTCTAATTAAGAGACTGTGACAGGTTAAGCAAACAGTAAAAGAGAAACTCCAAGTGCAAAGGGTGAAATTGTTGACCCGAATCAGGAGACACGGTGTCATTTTCTGATGGCAATTCCTACTTCCATGGCATAAAAAATGGGTACTTCAGACACCAAAGGCAGAAAAAGGCCTACTCCTCTTACTCTTGAAAAGCACAGTGTGTCCAATGCCAACAGGAGGCTGAAATAAAGTAAAATCCAAGTGGCATGCTGCCAGAGCTATTAGATGCGGGGGCAGAGGGGCACTGAAATGCAAGCTCTCATTTAACAAGAGGCATGACCACTTCAGTGGAAACTTCCTGTGCACACCCCCTAGGAGTGGAAGTCAAAACCAGGATTCCAACCCAAGGGTCAATCATCAGGGATCCACGTTGAAACAAAGATCTTAAGTCCCAGTGAACTGTGTCCCAAGAGACAGGACCCGGCAGTACACCCTGCTGTCCATGGGGAGGTGCACAAAAAGGGGTCGTCTTCTCAGCACACTCCACAGTAAGGCTGGAAGCACGTTCCACCTGAAGGTCACAGGGCATGTTTGGATGCCCTAAGCCTGGTCATCTTGCTTGGTGCACTCGAGATAATTTTATTGTTGGACTTGACTTAAATGTTGAGCTGTAGATTAATCTTGCATCCAAAGCCTAAGGGAACTTAATTTTGGTGGACAAAATGATATTCACATCATTCTAACAGCTCTTACAGTTTTAAGTCAGCATCCATCAGGGAATGAAATAACGTATAAAGTTAACTGTGCCTACAGAAGTTAGAGCTTAAGAACAACATACAACCCGTAATAGTCGTTCATCTTAATGTTTTGTTGTTTTTTGTTAATTGTCTAGGTACCTAGATCCATACCTTCATGAACAATTTTCCCTGGATGTGGAAATCTACAGGTAATAGGTAACAGGTCACAGAAAAATAAAATGAGGAAAGAACAAATTCGAGATATTACTTTTGAGCTACAACATCAACACCAAAGTTCAATGCTAACTTTGCCTTTTGTAAGGAACTACAAAAATCAACATAAGCAGAGCTGAGAAGACCATCTGTATTATACTCACCCACATTATGAGCTTTGCTAAGTCATGCTCCCAGGATGGCAGCTGTAAGAGGAACTAGGCTGACTGTATCCTCAAGGAAGGAAAAGTACCCCACCCCTTGGCTTGCTCTCAAAAGCTCCCAATGTTTAGGGTGAGAAGAAGAGCTGTTTCCCAGCTTGGGCAGTTTTTAGTTGCTCTGGAATACTGCAGAGATAAAATAACCAAGGCTTGATCGTTGTGGGTTAAAAGAGCCCTGATGTTTCTGGATCATTTGAGATAAACCCATAACACGAAGGAGCAGTGGCCCCAAACCAATGACAGGGGTAAGGGAGCCACCCCAGGGCAGGTCAACCACACCCTCAAAGCCACTCTACAGAAGGTCTCTTCCCACCAGAGATCTCCAACCACATTTTGACTCTTAAGGTACATGGGCACTGGGGAAAGGAAACCAGGAACCAAACCAAATCAGCATGACCCAGGCACACCCAAGGGCTGGACCACTTCAGAACAGGATCAGTGCCGCCCTCCCTTGCCCCAAGGCTCAGGCAGGGCAGCTACTTTATCTTAGGTGTGGCAGCTGGACGGGAGGGAGAGAACAGGATGCAGCTGGAAAGGGGAAGAAGTGGGTGAGGGGCCAGTACTCAGCACTTTCTCTACTCCACACCCCACTTTCTTTTCAAAACAATCTCTACACTGCTTCCCAATTGTGACCTGCCCCAGAATGTCTAGCTTCTGGTTCAACCTGAAACACTCTGGGGAGAGAGCCAAAAACTACTCCCAGTTGGCAGCTGCCGTCACGAAATTTACCCTGACTACAAACAGGGCCACAGCCAATGGCTCACTCTGAGACCCGCATCCTGTGTAGGTCCTGGGTGGGAGGGGGGCCAGAGGCAGCAGATTCACCCCAGATTGTCAAGGTTTTCATTAAGAAAATAATAATTTTATATACGCATATCATTGTATATATATACACACACACACACACACATATGTGTGTGTGTGTGTGTATAAATTCAAAGACAACTAGTCATCTAAACTTCCCCCCTTCAGACAAGTTGGGGAGCAGTGGCCATTCCAGTCTCCTGAAGAGACAAGAGATGCCCAAATTCATCATTAACTTGTTCTCTTAACTGTTCAATCTGGTCTTTGTCGCTACCAACGTTCCAAAAATCTACCCAGGTTTGGGAGGAATGAACAGATGTTCTTTATTGCAGTTTTGGCATCCATTAAGCCACTACAATTTTCTTTCTTCCAGAAGCTTCCCAACTGTCTTTTCATATTACTCTTTCTATAAAATGTCATCCTAGTGACCTTCCCCTCAGAAGTCGCCTTTGGTCTGAATTCCTTAATCCACGTCAAACTGTCCGCATCTTTCCTTCCCTAATGCACAGAGTGTCTCTCGCTGAACTTTTCTTTCTGGCAGAAGGACCCCTGGGTGAAGTGTGACAGTGCCATTTTGGGGGAGATGAGTTGCCTGGGAACACACATTGATACACTCGACTGTGAAATGGAAATGTATTTGTCCTTCCATAGTCAATTACCAAATACTGAGATTTGAACAGTCAGATAGGATTTTCTTTGAGCTAATGATTCCAGAACGACTCCCAAACCAAAATTCAATGGGATACTCTAGATAGTCTATTTTCATTTGTGTAGTTAATATTAAATCACTCATCAATAATGGGTGTACCTTACCCCACAGCAGTGGGATAAGGGCTGGAGAGAAAGACCTCATCTCTTAGCAATGCTTTCACATCTCATAGATTTAAATATCCAAAGAACTTATGGTGACTGTAGCTGGAGGTGAGAGAGTATCTGGCCTCACACTCCCTAGGAATCCGTTAGGTAAGTGGAGAGCGATATTCCTCCCAATAATGTTCTCATGAAATCCTCGCTGTTACGCCACTGTGGAATAATCACATGGAGAAAGGCAAAGGGAATTTCTTTGATCACTCCCTGCCTGGCTCTTTTTACCTATTCACACCTGTTAGATCACATCTGGGGTGCCAACATCCAGGTACGGTCCGCAAGGTGACTGGCTCCATCCTAACTTCAAACCTGTTTGTCCCCTTGATAACCATCCCCTCACCCTCCCCCCCTACAGGCTCAGAGGAAAAGACTTCCCCACACTAAAGCTACTCTGGATCCCTTACAGCGTGAGCCTCTCTAAACCTCAATTTCCTCATCAGGGAAGTGGCCATCACCTACTTCTTAAAGATTGTGAAGCTCAAAATAAATGTGAGAAACATCTTATGAGCCGAATATCTTTGAGATAAAACACTGTACCAAAGTTGGTCATTATTTCTACCAATTTTAACACCAAGAGCCCACTTGCTCACTATTACTTCATTTTCTGTTTTCATGGCTTCCTTTCTATATTTAATGTGCATATATTTCTCTTTCCGGAAAAAAAAAATAGTTTTCTGTTTAGAATTTTTCTGCCTTCATTTAACTTTTTCTGAACTCACTATTCCTTCAAGACAACAAATCCCCTCCTGCTATCAAACTGTTCCAACTTGGCCCACACTTAACTGCTTTCATTTCCCATATAATCATTCTGCCTTCTTTAAAGCCAGACGCTATCAGAACCTTGGAAGTGCCTGGGGATTACCAGTGATAATGCCGTCAAGAGAAGCCTCTTCTCCACTCTCAGTCTCCTCAGACTCAACAGAGCGCTGGGCACTGTTGATGACGCTTGGCTATTCACTAGCATGTACCCGTGAACCACTGACTTAACATCAGCTTCCAAGACAGTACTTCTGAATCAAGTCTGTTAAGTGAGACACAGCCTTGATTGATGTTAAATCCCTTCCTCTGCCTCTACCTGTCTAGGACCTGCTTCTTGCTAAACCTCTTGCCTTCCTTGCCTTCTACTCCACAAACAGTTTCCTGTTTCTTTCTGCTTACTCCTTCTCCTAAGGCATCGCCATTCCCTCCTCCTTCAATTTCCAAAAATACTATTTACAGAGGAGCATCTATCCATGAACCTGATCTGGTTCTGTCAATAACTGGTTTCTAGTCTGGAATACCAAAACATAGTTATCATATAAGTTATCTTTAGGCTTTTCATCTCATGCATCCCATACTGAAACTGTTACCAAATCTTACCATTTCCTGTTTCAAAATGTTTCCTGAATTCGCCTTTTTCTCTTCAGTCACACTGCCGCTTTAAGTCCTCATCCTCTCCAGTCTAGATAACTATTAGTCTGTGAATCAATTTTCTCACCTATTTTTATTTTCTCCCTCTCTTTTCCTTCCTCTAAGCCAGTGGTTCTCAAATCTTTTAGTATCAGAGCTCACCGCTAAAAAGTAAGAACTCCAAAGAGCTTGGGCTTATGTGGGTTATGTCTATTGATATTTAGCATGTTTGAAATTAAAACTAAGAATGTTAAAATCTCTGTTAATCCATTTTGGGTTAATAAAAATTACACTAACAAATAATATTTTTAATAATAACCGTATTTTAATTTAAAAAGTTAAGAATGGCATTGTTTTACATTTTTGCAAATTCTTTTTAAGGTCTGATTTAATAGAAGACAGTTGGATTCTAATGTCTACTTCTGCATTCAATCTGTTGTGATAGGTTCTATGGGTTGAAGCATGTGAAGAATTGTGGCTTTAGAGAACAATGTATTGAACAGTTGGGAAAGGGAGGAACCTTTCCAGTTAATTACATATATTCTTCTTTGACACCTCCCCAATCTGACAAGTAGCAATTTCTTAAAGGTGAGTTCCAATGTTGATCTGAATCTGAATCAGTGAACTTTCTGTACTCTGTTACAGTAAAATCCAATGGTCTGTTTTATGCTTCAAATGGATTTTACCCATGCAAGATTTTCTAACATCATGCACTGGGTCATTTGGAAAATACTGGTTTTGCAGATCTTGCAAGTGTTGACACATTTTATTATACAACACCAAAATATCACATTCATTAACATCACCACAGATCTCAATAGCAAAGTCTTGGGAAGCCATCAAGCTTTTTGCGACAGATGCAAATTCCCCAAAACCTAATTTTCATTCGAAAGGTCAAATTGTATCATTGGCAACTAATCCCTGTCAGGATTTTTTGTTTGTTTTTTTAATTGAAGTGAGGTGTTCATTTTGTTCCTTTTCGAGGAAACATGTCAAATACCCAATTCTGAATAACCCTGATTTGTCAGTTGTACTTTCAAGTAAAAATGATGTTCTTTTTTTTTTTTTTTTTTTTAAAGAAAGGCTAGTTCAGCTTGCAATTCAAACAATTACACAGGGGCTTTTCCTTGAGACAACCATCATACTTCAGCACACAGTGGACGTTGCTTTCTGCGGACTTCCCATTTCATCACACAGAATATTAAAAAGATGGGTATTCAAGGGTCAAGACTTAAAATTCATTATTTTTAGGGCTTCATTCAAGGACATTTTTCAGTGAATTATTATTTCTGCTGCAAGTGGGTGTTGGTAAAAAATAATACCACATGTAGCCCTAGAATAGCAGGAGCCCCTACTTTAACATGTATTAAGGCATCAGAAGTCTTACCAACAATTGCCCTCGCACCATCACTGCAACTGTCAATGCAAAAGAAATGGAAATATCTTAGTGTTATTATGCAAAGAGCTGTGACTTCACAGACCCTCTGCAAGGGTCTCAGGGATGCCAGAAGTCCATGTCCCACTCCTGTAGAACCTTTAAGTCTTCAATTGTACTAAATTCTCCCTTCTCATAAAAATAATAAATAAAACCATAGTCGCAGACTCCCTCCACCCTACTAACTGATCTCTCATCTTCCCTTACTTGCTCAGCTTCTTAGGCGGAAAAGATAACCTCACCAATTCCATTTCCTTATCACATACCTACAACTTAAACTCATTCACCTTCACA